ATATATATATAGATATATAGATATAGATATATAGATACATAATTATATATTTGTTTTGCACTCCAATACTGGTACTATGACCTTCACCTTACATATTCATTATTCACAAATTCATTAAGCTCTTCAAATAAAGCAGTTTCACCTTGGCTCAAAAATTAGAATAAGGTTGTTTTCAACCTCACATTTATTTGACACTACCTTTTAATGTTAGCACAGGGCTGATTAGACGAGTGCAGGCTGTCAACTACCTGAGAAAATCTGTTGAGCAAACCTCAACACTGTTGTACAATAAAATTACAGGGCCACACTCGACATTGATCTCATTCAGTGTTTCCATTGTTCATCATTCATCTGCAGCTCATGATGAAATGTCACACGTAAATTATAGGCTGGAGATCTTGCATAATTCAGACTTGATTCATGATTAATATTTGCTACACAATTTTTAACTCTGGTAGAAAAAGGAAATGTCAATGGATAGGATAAAAATCTACTGGCCTTCACTTTTTCCCTGCTCCTCTTTCCTGACGTTTTGCAAGAATCCGGTTCCTAAAATAGAAGCGCTGAAACCGCTGCTGATTACCCGTGTCCTTTTTAAAATGCCAGATGATCAAATCGTGCAGTTTGATCATTAAAGAATCTGTCAATGACTGAAACCAAAGGTACTGCTGAGCTATTCTGAGGAACATCTCCATGTTACCAGGTAGAAGCTAAAGAGCTTTACCTTCATATATCAGTAAAACGTGCACTGTCCTCCAAGCCATTAATGCCTGAGAATCTGGGGTCAGGCTAATAATGATTCCTGCCCCATTAATTTTACTACTCCAGCCTGGACTGGACCCTCTTATGGGTGGCATGTATTTAATTAATCATCTCATCCTGATGTCTGGTCAGTGGTCACCCTATCTATCTCTCACTGTTCTTTTCCAGATGAGTAAAGAGGGCTTTTCATCAAACCTGTAAAAAAGGAAGAATGGAAGGCTTAATTAATACTCTTCTGTATCTCCCTTCCCCCCTTGTCTTTTTTGTCTTCCTTCTCTCCTCTCAGACTAATAAAGGTGATGCATTGGCCAATCGTGTCCAAAACACGCTGGGCTCGTATGAAGAAATGAAAGACCTGTTAACCAGCCATTCCAACCAGAGCCACTTGGTGGGAATCCCCAAAGGAACAACAGCGAACAGCAACCTGCAGCAAGCCCCGACCACATCAGCGACAGAGAGACCCGCCATAGAGCCATCCCAGCTTTTTAACGAAGCCCTGAGAGGAGGAGCAGGTGGAGGAGGAGGAGGTGGAGGAGGAGGAGCAGAGACAGGTGGGGACAAGAAGACAGGGAATACACCCTCTTCCTCTACAGCTTCAATGCAACCACCCCCTTCAACCACATCCTCATCAACAGCAATCCCACATCAGAACTCCAAAAAGTCCCGGAGCTCCATGGACTGGTCAAGGGGAGGCCACGGACAGAGCACCCAGGGGACAGGCCTTGTTGTGGGGTTAGGACAGAATGGGCAGGGGCAGGTGACAGCAGGAGCTACCACCAGCAGAGGGAAAATGTCTTTGTTGGATGAGCAGCAAAGACATGACGAGCTGTTCAGCTCACTCAAAGATGAACTTGGTCTAAAAGAAGATTCAAGCCCTTCTTCTTCCTCATCATCTTCCTCTTCCTCTTCTTCTAGAAGGCACTCATCCCACCCAGCCAAAACCCACCCACTCGCCGGTAAGTCGGCAAGAAAAAAAATCTGTAAAAGAAGACGTTTGGTTGTTTAACTTTCACATCTGTACTCTAAGAAAAATATCATGTAGACAGGCTAGCATGTCTACATGATATCATGCGTAGCAGGGTTTCTAGCAGTGATGGTGATAAGTATCCACCTGCTATAATGCTAGATGCTCAGTTAGTGCAAATTATACACAAGTCAAAGTTAGTTGATAAAAGGAGCGCAGGAATGCACATTTATAAAAATTGATGTCAGCTGCTTAAACTGACTTTTGATGGACCGTCTGCGAAATCCCTGCCTCGCTCTCTCTGCACTATAGTCAACGTATTTATTTAACATATTTATGTTTCTGTAGCAGCTCGTTCCCGTTCGGAGGAAAACACTCACCTTAATATGCGCTTGTGCTGAATGGGCGGCTGCAAAGGGTCACGGCCGCTTCACATTGCATCCAAAGTAGTTTAGGAGTATTGGTGCCATCACGTACATGCAAATGGCAACATTTACTTGATTCTTTAGTCTCTTTTTTAGCTTATTTACATTTGTTTCAAGCTGTGATTTTACATGCAAAAATGGCTAATAGGTAGGCTAATAAGATGCACGAGCTAATATTAGAGTTTTTTTTTTTTTAAATGGTTCGTTAACTTAGGCCCAGCAGGCCAATGGGTTTGTATTATTTGGTAAAAGTAGTGCTGAGAATTGTTAAAACACTTTGTTCAAATTCAGCCTAGTTGTCTCGCTCCCACTACAACCTTTATGCTAACCTCAGCTAATACAATCCTAGGTTTAGCTTCATCTTTGGCTTAAATAGGAAAGTGGGATCACACCTCACCTACCTCTCAGAAAGTCCTTAATTCCAGGTGTCATCTGGTAAAAAGTCTCTTTAATCTGTTTCTTTGTTATTTGCTTGAGCCATGAGCACAGATGAATCATTTGAATGAATAATTTCAGCAACAAACACACTCGGTCACCTTTTTGGGGAATTCATGAAAATTGACATCTGCATTCTATGATAACCACATCTTGCATTTGATTTCAGAAGCACGTTGAACACATCATTTGCTTTGATTGTGATTGGTTACATCCATCTGGGAGAGGTTCAGCATTTCAACCTTCATTAAGTTTTGCCAGCAGAAAGTTAAGCAACGCTGTGTTATAACAGGTGTTTCTTTGGTTAGTCTTGACTTTTGATTGTTGTGTTCTTTTTTTTTACAGATGGTGGCAACTTTCGATCTACTGCCATGGATGGTGGCCACTTTAAGTCTTCCACTAATGCAGAAAATGGTGGATATTTTAAATCCTCCCCATTTGAAAGTGAGACAGGCTCCCACCTCTGTACATCGTCCTCCCCGTTGGCTTCCACATCAGTTCTGACAACACCCACTCCAGGTCTAACCACGCCCACATCTGGATTGACCACGCCTACATTCCCACCTGGTAGCCTATCAGGGAAGCCGATAGCTGTACAGCAGAAGCCTACGGCGTATGTTCGACCAATGGATGGCCAAGACCAGGCGCCTAGTGACTCTCCCCAACTTAAACCCCCTCTAGTGGCCACAGAGGGATTTAACAGCAGTCAGGCTTATGGAGGAAACTCTGGAAATGCGAAGAGTAAACTGCCCAAGCTGAGTCTCAACCACACAGGAGAGGTAAGAGAAGAATTACTGGAACGTGTTTTCCATATCTATATTAAACCAATGTGAAATAAATGGTCTTCACTGAATTAGTCTAAAACAGAAAATAAAATTTCAGTCCTTTAAATTATTCCTGATCATAGTATATAAGCCATCAGTTCACTTTACATAGAACTAGGAAATGTAATTGTGTACATATTCTGCAAATCCGTAGCATTTGGGGCTAGGTTACGTAAGGTTTAACCCATGTTAAGTTGGTTCAGTCCTCACCAGTGTTGGTCAAGTTACTTGAAAAAAGTAATCAGTAACTAATTACTTCCCCAAAAAAGTAATCCCATTACTTTACTGATTACTTATTTTAAAAAGTAATTAATTACTTAGTTACTTTTTAAAAACACGATTTACAACCTGAATAGGTGATAAAGCAATAGATCTTTCAGCCCAATTCTACTTTTTACTTCTGGAGCAGGTTATGTTCAAGATAACAAACCAACACAAAAACCAGTTTTGTGGAAAAAAGTGTCAGTATTCCTAATTTCCTCCCTGAAGAGGATCCATGTGAAATGTAGGATCGTATAGCAACTGTTTCCCCGTGTGGTCTTTAAGCAAGTTCAAGGAGTTTAACTGCTGTATAAAATAAACGCTTAGGATACCTAAATATTGCTACATATTAACGTCATATAAAATTATGTTAGCCTCCTTACCAGTTTGAATTTCTTGCCGTTTAACTGCACCTCAAATAAAACAGGTGAAAGGTCTTAGTCACTACAGCACAACCTTAAACGTATCACTGATGCTCTAATAATGGTGTTAAAATTACAGTCAAACGTTATGTTGTCTTAATGACAACAAGATTAATTGAACAACAGTGATTCACAGCAACATGGTGACTATACAGCAGCATTAGGGCCACAGAAGGCAGAGAAAATAAATAAATACGTGTCTGAATGACAGATTCATGCCAAAGAATGGAAACATAGTTTTTTGCAGTCAGTGTCATATTGTTTCACTTTTCAAGGTTAAAATGGAAAGAAATTCCTATTTTTGAACTCAATAACTCATTTTTCTTGACTTACAATTGAATCTCGTACATTTCCCACTTTAAGCCATAAATGTCCACAGTTTCTGTCTTACATTTGCCGTTTTAATCAAACCTTTTTCTTTTAAAATGATCACTTTAACCTAATACATTTTCTTTTAAATGTGTCAATTTTTTAATGCAAATTTACAATTTTAATCTTGCAAATTTGAAATCAGTAAGTTTGCTAATATTTTTCTCATAAAATTGTCACTTTTTTTCCTCAGAAATTTTCATCTTTAATCTTTGAAATTTGCCCTGTATTTCTGGAAAATGTACAACTTTAATAACCACCTTTGTATAATCACTGTCACGGCGACTGAAGCCAGCAGACCATATCCTGTTTATGCTGAACTTTGTAGCAACATACAAAAATTATAAACTAGTAAATCACATGGATGCAATGCTGTTTAACAAGTTTTCATTTAATCAAGCCAAAGACTAGAAAATATGGTGAAGCAAATCTTCCCTTTGGCTTCACCTTCACATGTGCCGAGGTAGGTCTCCCTGCAGAATTGGTTTTCCCTTCGTCAGGAGCAGCGCTGGGCTCTTCAAATCACAGACAAACAGTATCCCACATTCTTGATTTTTAGTTCACAAACACTTGTTGTAATGACTAACTACTCCTGACATTTTGGAGATATTAGCTCTTTATACAGCAAAGTTACAGCGGTATACAAATAACATCAGGCTGATCCTGCCACGATTTGTCTAAATCACAGACAAACAGTATCCCACAGCTGTTTATGTTTTTAAACCCATTTTGCACAGAGAGACATTTTTGAAAAATGTATTGACAGCAATGTTGAATATTATTACACAGGAAAAAAACAACTACGTGTAAAATAATTACACCGTGACGCCTCTGCCTTTGTAAATAGAGGGACAGTAACTACGTGTTTATATGTAAGCCTGTAAATACTGCAGATAGAGACAAAATACTGTTAATCTGACAATCTGCCGTTCTGCAATTCATCTCACGTAAACAATAACGTGGCGCACAGCGTGACATGAAAAAGGCACATACCTTTGGCGTTGCGTGACGAACTCTGTATTCCTCTCCACACACAAACGCAAAAAAGGAGTTTTTAAAAATCTCAGTTTTCAGTGATTCGAAACGCCGTTTACGTGTGGACGAAACAGCTGCATTTTCAAAATAACCGTGTAGGTGCGGACGTAGCGTAAAAGAGTTAGTCGTTTATTTTCTTACTACCTGTAAT